ATTTTACATTATTAGAGATATGCTTATTAAGGATGTAGAATGTAAGTACAGGTATAAAGGCTTACTTTGATAAACTGCACTGTATGTAAAATAATATGGAGATAGAAGTGACTGAGGCAGAGAGATCAGTCAGGGGAAAATCAGGATTGCTCATTTTAGTGGCCATCAGGTAGTGCATTATTCAGAGACGTTTTGTATTTGAGGTACTTAATGGAATAAATCTTAAGATATTCAACCAACAGTTTGGAACTCAAGTGCAGCACTTTGTAGAGAATTTGAGATTGTAGATGACTTTTTGTATTCTGTGTCTGACCACACTTTCTACGTTTGGGGTATCCTTTTACATTATTGCTTAGTTTCTTACTCTAGAAACAAAAAGATGCCAGGAAAAACCTTCCTAGCCTTCTGTGCAGCTGTAGTCCAGATGCACAATGAAGGCTCTAGTGATAAGGTTTGTTTATGCTTATTTTAAAACAAAAAGCTAGTACATGAAAAAGCAAGGGTAATACTTACTCAAGTTTTTGAGGGGGCAGAAAAGCGCCACTTATTTTCAGTGTTACAAATAGATAAATGATGCTGGAGTGACAGATCTGTGTCTAGTCCTGTTTTCATGTGACCATTTCTATGACACTTTGGGTGAGTTATTTCTAACTGTCTACCCTCCAAACCAAGCTCCATAGCCCTTCCCCCAAATTTTGTGTTTAGCAAAACATCCTTTAATAAATTTGTTTTCTGACTGATTCAGGCAGAGTTACAATTGTTTAGTAATAAAAAAACAAAACAAAACTACTAACTGACAGTGGAACCAAAGGCATATATGAAGATGTCACATGTGAATACATGCAATAATTAAAATATAAGCATAAAGAGTACAAATAAAATAATTGAGAACTAAAGAAAATGCAGAGTTGAGTGGGAATATATTTGGAAGGAGAGACAAAAATCTGAACGGGAGTAGTCTTAATATGGGAGAAAAACCACTAAATGCTTTCCAAATAATAATAAGATTAGAGAGTATTTCAGGGAAGCCTCAAATTCCATAGAGATCATTGAAAACCTTATTCAGAATTTTTAAGAGCATTTCTTTTAGTAAAGAGATTATTTAGTGACATTCTCACAAACTCACATCTACCTAAATTAAGAAAGCACCATGAGGTAATCACATTAGTAATCTAACTAGTAATGTTTCAACCACATTCACCACCCTCCACATCACATTGTTTAGTGCTTCATTCCTTCAAGTACACACACACACACACACACACACGCACACACACGTGAATTTGTCATGATTGCTAGGTAACACATTCCAGGAGGGTATGCAATGTTATTTATATTTTCCTCGTGTCCTAGTCTAGGATACTGCACCAAGTATTCTCCAGGCATTGAGGCTGTCTTTGTGTTTCATGGTATTTCTCATGTTCCTACTTACTTTTGCTGCATTAGCCTGTTTCTTGACACATGCAATTTTCCATACTGCATTTCAGGGCCAAAGTAGGCTCTCAGTTATGTCACAATAATTTTGTGTTTCATTCAGGTCTTTGTTTCTTGAGCTGAACATCTTCTCTGTGCTTTGTTGTGTATATCTGTGCATTTTCTCAAAGCCCAAGGGAAGAATGAGACAGAAGTGCATGATGCTAGCAGTCACTCAGTACTGAGGTCTGTAAGTAAAGCCTGGTTCCTTTAGCCATATGTCAATGGAGCATAGCTCCTCTATAAATCTTAGCAAACCCCTTTGGGGTTCCACTGATTCAGTTGCTAAGAAATTTGTTATTCAGAAATATTGAGAATAGCTTTGGTGCTTCTTCCACTGACCTCCCTCTTTTAGATGAGGTTCTTGAGCCATTTTGAATGCTGAATGCCAGCTTCCAACACTGGTATTGAGTACAATTGAAACCTCTGCTCACCACTAACTCCTCCATGGTCATATAATTGATTTCCAGAAATTTGTTCCTGTTACTTTAATTAAGGTTAACAAAAAAATATTACCCACCTCCCATCATCTCAATTGAACCTGACTCTTAACAGAAGCTCCAGAAGTAAACTCTCCTACAAGTTGGTCTTCAGCATCTGTAACCCAGGCTTTTCTGCTCATTAATTATTTTGAGTGTGTTCATGAATAATGTAAAACTACGGAGCAACAAAACTACAAGATATAGTCCCAAAATTTCAATTTTAGATATTTCCCCAAAAAAAAAAAAGAAATCATGACTTACAACCTTCTTTATTGACAATTTCTCACCTGCAGAGTGACTGTATTAAAGAGCGCCTTTGAAAGTTAGATATAATATATTGCAGTTTCCTGGTAACAGCATTGTCTTCAGACCTAGACAGAAGGGCAGCTGCTTTACACTCCACATATGTGGTCTGTGGCAACATGCCACACCCACACTAAAAGGCTATGAAATAACATAAGGGCAGCAATAAAATTATTCTAATCAAATGCAGAACTTTAACAGTTCAGATGAAATTCCCGGACTGTCTTAGTCTTTACTAAATGAACATTTAATTATGATCAATATAATAAGAATATTAAAAAGGCAATTATTTCCATCAATTTCACATCTCAGAAGAAACAAATGCAACTCTGATCTATTAGAAAGATTAAAAAAATATTCAGAAAATTAGCAAATTATATGAAAACTCATGAAAATATTCATCACATCTTTCTGGCATTGTAAGAATGCTTCTATCAAAACATCTTCTGATTCAATTTAATAATATAGAATTACTTTGGGTTACATGGCAGAAATTTCAGTATTTTATTTTGAATCATTTTTAAAATGTGTAAAAAAGAAAATATAGTAACTAGCTTTTAAATACTAACTTAGAATGAATGTGACGTGGTGCTGAGAAGAATGTATATATTGTTGATTTGGGTTCAAACTATGCTACAAGGCTAAAGTAACAAAATCAGCATTGTACTGCTACCAAAACATATAGACCAATGGAACAGAACAGAAGCCTCAGAAACAGTGCCACATGTCTACAACCATTTGATCTTTGATAAACCTGACAAAAACAAGCAATGGGGAAACAATTCCCTATTTAATAAATGGTGTTGGGAAAACTGACTAGCATATGCAGAAAACTGAAGCTGGACCCCTTCCTTATACCTTATAAAAAATTAAATCAAGATAAATTAAAGACTTAAATATAAGCACTAAAACCATAAAATCAAAGGATTATAAATCATTCTGTTATAAAGATACATGCACACGTTTGTTTTTTGTGGCACTGTTCACAATAACAAAGACTTGGAACCAACACAAATGCCCACCAATGATAGACTGGATAAAGAAAATGTGGCACATAGACACTGTGGAACACTATGCAGCCATAAAAAGATGAGTTCATGTCCTTTCCAAGGACATGGATAAAGCTGAAAACCATCATTCTCAGCAAACTAACACAAGAACAGAAAACCAACATTGCATGTTCTCACTCATAAATGGGAGCTGAACAATGAGAACACATGGACACAGAGAAGGGAACATCACACACTGGGCCTGTCTGGGAGTGGGGAGCTAGAAAAGGGCTAGCATTAGGAGAAATACCTAATGTAAATGACAGGCTGATGGCAAACCACCATGGCATGTGTGTACCTAATGTAGATTACAGGCTGATGGCAAACCACCATGGCATGTGTGTACCTAATGTAGATTACAGGCTGATGGCAAACCACCATGGCATGTGTGTACCTAATATAGATTACAGGTTGATGGCAAACCACCATGGCATGTGTGTACCTAATGTAGATTACAGGCTGATGGCAAACCACCATGGCATGTGTGTACCTAATATAGATTACAGGCTGATGGCAAACCACCATGGCATGTGTGTACCTAATATAGATTACAGGTTGATGGCAAACCACCATGGCATGTGTGTACCTAATATAGATTACAGGCTGATGGCAAACCACCATGGCATGTGTGTACCTAATATAGATTACAGGTTGATGGCAAACCACCATGGCATGTGTGTACCTAATGTAGATTACAGGCTGATGGCAAACCACCATGGCATGTGTGTACCTAATATAGATTACAGGTTGATGGCAAACCACCATGGCATGTGTGTACCTAATGTAGATTACAGGCTGATGGCAAACCACCATGGCATGTGTGTACCTAACGTAGATTACAGGTTGATAGCAAACCACCATGGCAGAGGTATACCTTTATCACAAACCTGCACATTCTGCCCACGTACCCCAGAACTTAAAGTATAATAATAATAATATAATAATAAATACTAACTTAAAATGCAGTGTATTTTGCTTCTACTATTACACTTTATATTTAGTTTTTCCAGCTCAGTTATCTATGGCTGATACTGAAAAAATTTGATACATTTGATACTCTATTAAAAGACCACGAATCCAATTGGAGACAAAACAGTTCATATTTAATTATAGAACTGAAGAACAAAGCTAACTAAATAAAAAAAAATCAACTGTATTCAACTGAGACAAACACATTAGAAAATGAAACATTAGTATATTATTAAAAGAATGATATCTTATATCTACATGTAATCCCACATAATGTGGTACATCTTTTGATCTCTACCAGCATAGCGTATACTAGAAAAAAAGAAACAGTTCTGAACTTATTATGTATTGTCTTAAAATTTGATCTATGATGAACAAATTCATATGAAGGTTAAAAATAATTTAACGACAAATAATTCCTATGTGAGATGAAAAATTAGGCTAATATTATTAATCAAATGCATAATAAATTTAGAGAATATGTAATATTTAAAATAAATAATTAGAAAAAATGCAGCTTCTGGAATGGTAGCATGGTAAGTTTTATAAACCTTCTCCCCAAAAAAATGATCATATTGAAGAAATTATTTTATAGAAGTCTTTGGAAATTATTTCATAGCAAATAAAAAAACATTTTTTTTTCCTGTGGCCCTTAGCCGTTACTTGCTTTCTCCTTCTCTCTCCCTATCTCAACATTTCTTTTATTTCTTTTCTTTTTTTTCAGACTCTCCAATCTGAATGAGTAGAGACAAGAAAATGAGGCTCTCTCTCTCCTCATCTCCCAGTTAAAGGATGTGCTATCTCACCAGAAGAGGTAGGTTGCCAGCTTTTCTCATACCTCTCAGCTAAATTAAGTTGCCAATGCTAAATTTCTAGCATTTGAAGCTAACAGTATGAGTTTTTCTTCATCCACTGAGCCCTGACTAGTAAGGTGGAGGCTCACTCCTACTCATGGCAAGCCAAAAATGTTGAGTAAATAATCATTTCTTCTCCAGTTCCCTCATACAGTGGAAGATACATGTGGGGGAGGCAACCTGAGAAGATGAGCAGTTACCTTCCCTACCAATATTATATCCCCATCCCAACACGTAGGTCCTTGGAGATGCCTGTAGGCACTGGTTCTGAAAGTTCTTCCTAATTTTCTCTGCCCTCCTGATCCTCAAAGACACCCTACCCAGAGGCACTGGGCAGGACTTACACTAAAGAGGAGCTGGTGTGTTTCTGTCACTCTGGAAAAATTACACCACTCTCCTTGCTCTCACTCTAGAGCAGAGGTTCAAATGTTTTGTCATGGTAAAGAGCTCTCTATAAAGCAACTCCAAAGCTCTCTATAAAGCAACTAACTTAATTGGTAGCTGACTGTTGGGAAGTTCAAGCTGAGAGTTGTTTAGAAACAAAGGCAATTTTGGTGATAAAAAAACTATGAGCAACATGCTAAAATATAGACAAAAAGCTTTACCAGAGAGAATCAGATGAAGAAACAACTAACAATATTCCTCCTGTGTTTAGAACAAACCACAAAGACTTGCCTCAAAAACCAGCTCTGCAATGGGTCTTGGTTTAATTGGATCAGACTGTGGGAGCAATTTATACTTTAGGGTATCATGAAAATCAACAGACCAATCAGCCTGTCATTAGAGGAGACTAAAATCTGAGTGTGATATATGCAGAGGCAGACAGCTTAACAGAGAGAGCAGAAAGATAGTCCACTAGAATTCTGATAAAATCACTGCTATTCTAAGGTGATTGTCTTCTGCCTGAGGCTATGCCCTCTGAGAACATCTACGGCTTCACCTTGAATGAGAAACAGACTTTACAAAAATAGTACAGCCAAGTCAATAAACAAGAAAGCAACAAAGTTGAAATTTATAAATATCTCAGTGTATCTACTAAGAAGTGAATACACTACTTGTGGAACTGAAAAAGATAACTATTTTAAAATTTACATAGTTATTCGAAAGCATGTTGAAGTAAAGTTGAAAGTATTCATGCTTACATGACTGATAAAGAAAAAAAGATACAAGCCAGACTTTTGGCTGAATATCTAGGAGCATTGTATATATATATATATGTATATACACACATATATACCTATATATATACACATATATATATGTGTGTGTGTATGTATATATATATATACATGATAAATTGGTTGAATTTGCCTCTAGAAAAAGTTCTCAGCAATATTGAAGTAATGATATATCTTGGACCAACTCTAAGACTGTATGTGATATTTTCTGGATCTGCCAGAATATTTGAGAACCACACAGAGGCACAATATAGGAATGCAGACTAAATGTTGTTAAAGTAATTGTTTTAATGTATAGAAAAATATAAGCTCACTAGGAGCGGTAAGGAAAATAACAGAAACTCCTTCCAGAATCATTCAAGAAAAACCATTAAATTTGTGCTATTCACAATTATTTGGAATAAATTATTGCTTACTATAATTGCTATGTTAGCAATCGCTTATAAGAAACAGATCTAGTGTATGCTATTTTATTTTTACTATGATAAAATTTATTTGATTTGCTAATCAAAATAACTGCATGTGAAATATTCAATATATGTAGCAAAATAAGGAAAACAAAATAAAAATTAAAAATTTTACACGATTATGAAAGAAAATAGTCACATACAAATAATACTGAAATTAATGTCTACGGAATTTATATTCTGGCCAATATAAGTTAAGGTGTGTCCCTGATGAAAAAATAAGCAAATACATGAATGATAGAAACAGAATAAAAACTATTCTGACTCAGAATCTCATGTTCTTTTTTCCTTTTTGTGTGTGTATGTGTAAGAAGAGGTCTTATTGCTAACCTCTTGGAATGCTGTTGTTACCTGGTTAGAAAATACAGTATTAAACATCTGATTTATATGGAAGCATAAGTTCACATGCTAGGTCACATTTACTCTTCTTCAAAATTAGGAATTATCAAAAATGTTTTAAAAGTCTTTGAACCTTTCAAAAACAAGTTGAACATCTCTCTGTTTCATAAATAGAACAGAAAACTCAAATTAAGAAGGGGTTAAAGTTGATGAGATGAAGTGCTCTGGGGAGGAAAACAGAAGAGGATCCAGGAATTGAAACTTTAAAGGAAAAGAGAATGAAATCACCTTATAAATTGTAAAGTGACCAGAACTAGTCCATGAAAATGGATAGGGTTGTGACCCATAGTTAGTTGTTGCTCAGGAGGACAAGATTAATCAGAAATAGCCAAGTGACCAGGACCTAGGCTGAGACATCAATGTACAGGAACTGCCAATACATGACTTGATTCTGAATGCTACAGTCACATGCGTAAGGGAGAAGTAATCAGAATCTATCAATCAGAACAAAAGGAATGAAGAAAACGAGACCACAAAGGCAGAATAAAAAGAACACAAAATTTTTCCATAAATTCCTTCTTCTACTAACAAGGATCTCAAATTATAAAAAGCATTAACTAATTAAGAAAGCTAATTTACTCGACATAAGATTTTGCCATCTTCAATCTTCATACAATCAAGAAAATATAAAAAACAAACTATAAAAAGCATATACAACAGTATTATAGATAAAGGGAAGAAAAAAATCCATAAAAGTTAATAAATTACTACAAAGAAAAATGAATACAATAATAAAGAATAGTTGAAGATTAAAATAACTAATTATAAATAACAGAAATTTAAAATTTTTATTAAAATAGAAAAAAAGAGACAAGATAAATTCTAGACTTTCCAAAAATAAAGAATAATTATTTCAAAATGATCTCAGAATTCACCCCTAAATCAGTATACCACCATATGGGGGTTGTTATAATAAAAAAGATGCTAAAATGTTCCATTTAAGAGAAAAATGTCAAAGCATATCTTTAAAGAAACAAAACAAATATAGTAGAAAGCATAAGGGAGTTTCTACCTTTAAAAACATAACAGTGAATTTTCCTGAAATAAAGAACAAATAATTCTTATATAGTTTTAAAGGGCCAAATTGGAAAAGTAAAACTATCTGCATAAGTTTACGTAAATATATAGTAAAACCAAGTGATATCAAATACATAAAAGAAAAAAATTAAACCAACTGATCAAAGAATGGCAAATTATTCACAATGGAATGTTAATTATCTTGACAGCAACAATATCTCATTAGCAATAGTAGTTGACTAAAAGATTGTGATTTACTAAAACATGTATTTGGTCTCTGCCCTCAGTTTCTAACACAGAGCTTCTGAAACACTTGTAATTTTCTAAATAATAAAGTGATAGAAGCATGTTTTGTTATAATATGAGGTCTCAATCCTTGGTTCCTGTTACAAGAACTTCTAAGAACCTTGAAATCTTCAGAATAATGAGTATCTTTGGTATGTGAATGAGATGACTGGCAGTTAGGAGTCACTAGACAGCTTTCCGGTTTGAAAGAACAAGGCATGATTAGAGAATTGGCACTGCCCGCCCCACCCTTTAACATTTGGGGAGAAGACAGGGGTTGGAGATTGAGTCATTATCAATTATTTATCAATAATGCTTATGTAATGGAGCATCTATAAAAACACTAGCAAAGGGGTTGGGGAGCTTCCAGGTTGGTGAACACACAAACCTGCCAGGAGAGTGACTCCACCCAACTCCACTAGGACAGAGTGTCCTGAATTCAGGACCCTTCTGGATCTTACCTTATGTACCTCCTGATTTTGCTGCTCATCTGTATCTTTATAAACCAGTAATAGTAAGTAAAGTGTTTCTCTGATTTCTGTCAGCTGCTTTATGAAATTATTGAACCTAAGAATGGGTTCATGGGAACCCCCAATTCATACACAAATTAGAAGTGTAGGTAGCCTAAGATATCATCACTATTTGCAATTGGCCTCAATCTTACAGAACTAAGCCCCTTTGTGAGGTCCATCCTGTTATAATTCCACGTAGCTTGTGTCAGAATTGAATAAAATTGTAAGACACTCAGAATTGCTTGGTGCAGACTATCTGCACATTTGGTGTAATTGACAATCCATCATTTTAAAAATTGAGAACAGAATAACACGTTTAAACTGCTCCACAAACTAAGTCAGTTTCTACACAGATATCTTTCATGAAATTGTAATAACCTACCCTGAGCTAGCATCACTGACTCCTTCTTAGCTGTAAACTCCAGCCTAGCTTCCCCTTCCCTACCACAGCCCCTCTGAGTGCATAACTGGGTCATGCTGCACTTAGGAGCATTGAAGCATACTGTCCTTAACACTTGTAACCATTGTAACCGCATCCTGCTTGGCATACCCCCCTTGCTATTGCAAGAAAAATTTTTCCCTTTGGTCATTGTATAGCAGAAGCCTGATCACTCTCCTTCTTGGTAATTGTATGGAAAACACCTGTGCCCACAGCCCCTTCCTCTAACCTGCTTTTCTGCTTCTGTAAAATTCCACTTCAGCTAGGTACCCCCTCCCCTACCTAAATCAAGGTATAAGAGATAATCAAGCCCCTTCCTCGGGACCCAGAGAACTTTGGGGATTAGCCGTCTCTCAGTCGCTGGCTGTAAAAGGACTCTTGATTTGAAACTCAGTGTGTGGCTCATTCCTTCTAACTGGCTCGGTTACTACAAAATAAATAATAAAATATGTATTTCGGTCAGTAAAAATGTAAAGAAATAAGGAGGGGGGAAATGCAAATATTAATAAAGACCCCAGATAATGCTAAAATATCTTGATAAAATAAATCTTCTTTTGGGTCTTTTGGTTATAAAACATAAATAATTAAATCAAGGTTGTTTTTTGGGAAACCTATAGATAAAATGTTAGCCACTGTGTCATATAAATATAAAGAGATATAATT